GTCAAGCTTAGTTCATACTGGCCAACTCGACTGATTTCGTGGAATTGTTTAAACTTGTCTGTCTCCTATTACCCATCTCAAAATTGTCTAATACATTTTCTTGCATGTCCTATTCATTTTATCTAAATAGTTATCTAAATAGACTCAAGTCAAATTGCAGACTCATGCAGTTAGTCAAATAGGTATTTTAACCAAGAGCTCATACATATTTTACATCACTTACCAAGGGAAGACGCAAACAGCACTTCTGTGTCATTACAGATTGATTTTTTTTTATTATTTTTTTTGATATACATAAAGAAACTCTTCTGTGTTTATTGTACTAGACTGGAATAATAAAGCAACCTGCATGCTGTTGGGAAACTGACAAACTATGAGAATATTCTGAGATACAGATTGTCATGGGGCTACCCCATACCAGGGCTACCCCAAAGGACAGAGACAAGAAGACAAGAAAAGGAAGCTGCAAAACAGGAACAGAAATACAGTGTGCTGAATCAAGTCACACAACTTCAGTAGGACCTTGAGGCTGCCAGGGGTGGCCAACAACCAACACAAATAGCTGGGGCACTAAAAGAAGAGCCTAAGCTGCAACAACTTGAAGACTTTGATGACATCGAACATTTCATCACTACTTTTGAGAGGTTGGCTGAGGTCTACAACTGGCCACAGCAAGAGTGGGCCATATGTCTGATCCCACTTTTGACTGGAAAGGCCAGAGGGGCCTTTTGTGGCAATGAATCCAGCAGATACAACGAAATATGGCTTGTTGAAAGCTGCAGTGCTGCAAAAGTATCAAATAAAAGAAACTTACTGTCAATGATTCCGCTCTTATGACACACCGGCTGAGGAGTCCCCCCCAAGAACTGTATACTCGACTGAAAGACTCTTTTTGCAAATGGGTCCAGTACGACACCTGCAGTAAAGAGGAAATGATGAAGATGGTAGACAGGAAATGGTCCTGGAGCAGTATTTGAAGGTGCTTTATCCAGAAGCGAAAGCCTGGGTCAAGGAGCATGATCCGACTACTGCTGCAATGGCTGCTAAACTGGTGGTTGCCTATGTGTCTGCTCACAAGGGACTGGGATCTTACCGCTATGCGGACAATGCAGACTCCAAGGGGGTAAGTCTGAGGGGTTTTTGAAAGGGGGTGGTTCAAGTAGCCATACACAGGGTCAGGCCAGCTGTAGAAAACCTTCACATGTAGATCAGACTAACCAAAGGGTTTGGTCAGGTCGCAAAGCAGAGGTAGTGTGTCACAGCTGTGGTGAGGCAGGCCACACACGCCCCTTTTGTCCAGTTAAAAAGTCCAAAGCTACAAACCTGTGTTATGGTCCAAGGCCTAGGGTTGCACCTTTCCCAGAGTCATCTGATTAGCTAACTTTTACAGTCCTGGTAAATGGTAGACCCCCTAACTGCATTGCTAAACGCAGGTTGTACTCGATCTCTTGTCCAGCCCAAGTTTGTGTGGAAGCCAAGAGCTATGGAATATAGAGGAGACAGAACCAGTTGTTTGTGTTCATTGCCACACTTCTGAGGTGCCCACAGCAGAGGTTTATTTAGAAGTACACAACCAACCTTACCTCATCAAAGTAGGGGTAACTCCAGAGTTGCCATACATATCCTGTGTTATTAGGAACTGCTTGTCCCATTCTTTTGGACTTAATTCAAGAGTGGAGGGGGAAGTTGTGTGGAGTTATCACTAGGTCTAAGGCAAAGGAACACTCACCTTTACCGGTGTTAGTTGATCCAGAGGTTGAATCAGATTCAAGAGTGCTACAGTCTTCCTGAGGTATCGAGGGCTGAGGTGCTCAGGGTAGGTCAATACTGTTCCGTGGGCTGGTCATTTGGGCTTCATGAAGACTTTCATGCGAATAAGTAAGAGCTTTTACTGGCCAGGAATGTATACCCAGGTTCATAACTACTGTAAAATCACATCCATGGCTCGTGACAATCTACTGAAATCCCAGGCTAAACAGAAACAATGGTATGATCGTGAAGCCAGAAAAAGGAGCTTGGCAGTGGGTGAACGGGTATTGTTACTTTTGCCAACATCAGAAAATAAATTACTGGCAAAATGGCAAGGTCCTTGTGAGGTCAAGCAGAAGATGGGTGAGGTGACTTACCAGATTTTCATGCCAGAACGGAAACAACCACTTTTCATATTAATATGCTGAAGAAATGGGTCCCCATGTCAGTTCCAGAGGCATCTGTACCCCATTCTCTCTTTGTTTGAGCTGTGGATGAAGAGGAGGATTTGGTGGAACAATATCTACCTACTGAAGAGGAGAAGCAACTGGATCTCACTCACCTGTCAGATGGGAGGAGAAAGGAGCTGCTTGACATCTTGCCTCTCAACCTTTTTCTACAGACACCTGGAAGAACAGAGGTGGTATTCCACCATATCGCTTCAAAGGACCCAACCCCTCTCCATCAACCAGTGTACAGAGTCCCAGAGTGTCTTTGCCAGTTTTGAAAAAAGAGCTGGACATGATGAGGGAGATAGGAGTGATAGAGCCTTCTGTCAGTGAATGGAGCAGCCCAATAATTCTGGTGCCAAAGAAAGATACAACATTAAGATTCTGTTTGGACGAGTCAATGGTGTAGTAGGTTGGACCTATACCCCATGCCCAGGGTTGATGATCTCATTGAGAGACTAGGCAGTGCCAACTTCATCAGTACACTGGACCTATGTCAGGGATACTGGCAGATCCCACTCACCAAAGAACACAAGGAGGTGACAGCATTCAAAACCCCTTTTGGACACTTCCAGTTCACAGTGCTCCCCTTTGGCCTGCATGGGGCCCCTGCAACATTTCAGAAGATGGACAGGTTGCTGAAGGGCACAGAGGGCTATGCGGTGGTCTACTTAGATGATATGGTGGTCTATAGTTCCAGCTGGGAGGATCACCTGTCTAATCTGAAGGGAGTGATCAGACCTCAAGTTGGCAAGGTAGATGCTATCTTGTCAGCCGAAAGACCTAGAACTAAGTCACAAGTCATGTCAGTTCTGGGCTTGGTGGGTTGGTATAGGCGTTTTGTGGAGAATGCCATTAAGTAGGCGTTGGACTCTCGTCGCTATTACCTACTGGGATGGAAATTCATTCTAGAGACAGACCACCGGGCATGGACATGGCTCCAGAATAAGAGACCAATTCCAGGATAACACGGTTTCTCACCATACAGCCTTTTGACTTTGATGTTCTCTACAGGAAAGGGAGAGAGAACTGCACAGCTGATTACCATTCTAGGACGCCACAGGGGTCGTCTTCAGAGGGAGGAATGTGAAATGTCATGGGGCTACCCCATGCCTTCATTTAAGCCAGCAGTAACATTGGTCTTAGCATGCTAAGCTAACCTTAGCTGAGCATTAGCATAGCATTACCTTAGCATATGGGCTAGCATCAATGGACACATGGCTTGTCATTTCATGTCATTTCAGTTCATTTACGTACTAGTCGAAAGAGTTGAAATCATGATTAGATAAATACAGCACATACACAGTTCATTTCAAGTCATTTATTTTAGCTTATTGGATTTACCCAAGGTCATCCAAATGTTTGTATGTTTCATTCACCTGTTCTCATCCTCAAGCAGGGATCTGGGTCGAAGTGGCAAACAAGAAGTAATGGAGTGTGGAGTAATTTATAAGCGGAAAGACCTGGAATAGTCCAAGTGTGAGCCAGTACAGAGGGGTGTACTGGAGTACCTTAAGTTGCTGTTTTGAGAAGCTTTGTTCAGTATGTAACATTTCATTTCTGGTTTTATAGTTGATATATTGTGTATTGATGTAGCCAGAAATGTTTTGGACTGTTGAGGTAACATAATATTGTTTAATTGATTTTCAATTAACTTTGGTTTGTCTTGTGGGAGGGGCTTCTGGTATAAAGGAAGGAGGCAGAGGCTAGTGATGAGCAAATTAAGCTTTTGTGAAGCACTGAACCACCTGAGCAAATTGTTTAAAAAATGGGTTCATTACTTGAAGCTTCAGTTACAGGGACCTCTCCTGGCCAAGTTCAAGGCTGCAGGCAAATTAGACAGGCTAGCTGGTGGACAGGAGGTTTTTAATTACATACTTGCACGCCCCTCGATGAGCAGTGCTGGAGAAACTACTTTACTTTCGTAGTAAAGACCATTAGTTATAAAGAATCTCTGCTTTAATCACCCTTGGATTTAAAGTATATTTACTTTGAAAATTCTTTGATACACACTAAGACTGAACATTATGTTTGAACAAAGATTGATGAATACATGAATTTGTTATTGAGGAGAGAGTGCTGAGAAATATGGCACAGGTTGGATGCGCTTGTGTAACTATGACAGGGGGTGAATGTGTTTAGATGGGGTGCACAACACTCACTTTCGAGTCGATCGAGGCAGTGCCAGTGAATCACGTGACTAGACCGCGAACCAGTCAGTGATTCATTCAGTAAGTGAAGCAGTTGCTGCTTCGGACGTCACATGTCACGTGATTTATTTTTTTCACACCAAAGCAAGCTTTGAAGCAGTGGTTCAATAGGATTGCAGTCCGGGGGTTTGAAGCGTGTATCGAAGCTTCAGTGTCGCACTGCCATCACTAGCAGAGGCTCTTCTCGGCAGAACAGCTTTGGCCTGGAAGGGCACATGTGCTAGAGCCCAATAGTCAGGGCCTGCTATAGGTTTTTTTTTATTGTGGTTTTTATTATCAGTTTGTAATGATAATTTGAATAGTTTATACTTAGTTTCCTTGTTTTTTTTGTTAATTTTAGATATATTTTTGCAATAATTCACACTTGCACAACTGCACTTTCCATGTATCTGGTGAAGAAATAAATTGAAGCACCAGGTGAAGAACTCCTGAGTCCATGTCTCCTCCTTCCACCATGGGGCTAAACATTACACAGATCTAATCAGAGGTAAAGGGAAACTGTATTTTGTTGATCATTTTAGCTGTGCATATGGGCGGGTTCAGCAGTGAACTTTGATTGCCCTAAAACTTCCTCATTTGTTCTGCTGAGTTGTTGCACTGCTCTCTGACACACTACATGCCTTACTCTCGTGGAAGGAAAATCCCTTCCTGCGAAGACATTCCTAAGGTTTCTTATATTTTTCTTAAAGAGATGCAATTTTTTTAATATCTTTAAATAATCTTATGGTTTCATGGAAATACTTTATTTTAAGGTAAGAGAAAAAGTTACTATCATCAGATATTTAATTATTTTCCACTGAGGGCTTAAAATGCCATAAATCAAATTGAAAGTGTTACAGCTTTAAAGCTTAACTTAATCGCTATGTCATTTAAAGCAGAGGTACTGGTGCAACGAGCTGTAGGGCCAACAATTGAAAAATGTTTCTGAATATTTACAGTATGAAACTAAACTGATACTTATGGTATCAATTTGTCAGCATACTATCAATGTGAAAGTTTTCCAGTCAATCCTCAGCGACTGCATGCTTAGGAAGAAGGCTGAAAAAAAGACGTGTTCATATCGGGTTTATCGCATTTACAGATGGCTTTGCACACTTGTTTTACAGATGTGGCTGTGGACGTTGGTTAGCCTAAGCATCATCACAAAAGTGTGCGGTTATGCAAGTGGTTACTTCCCGAAAGTATGTCATACAATGTCACCTAGGCATAAAAATAGAGGGGAAGTTCTTGCTCCTCAGAACACTCAACCGCCCTTTGAGGTCCATTACGAACATGGTAAAAAGGGAGAACCTATTACAGGTACAGAGACTTTTGGATGAAGGCTTATTTGTCTCTATGAATCTTTGTTGCAGTGGTCATTCACTAAGCGCAAGATTATCACTGTCTCCATTTTCTCCACCTGTGTCCTGATAAATCTCCGAACCATTTTCCAGTTTTTCTCAAGAGCAAGTCATCCACACAGTTCAGGGGATTTATGTTGGAGGCTCGAAACAAAAGCATGGTGGACGATGGCCGGCCTGTTGGAAAATTTATCTTGCTTGACGCTAGAAATTCTCAACTCCTGACGTGTGGTGATATAGTAGTAAGTAACCAACCCATGTTGTCATTATTAGTAAGTAAATGCACTGAAATGTTAAATTGAATATTCATATTTTCCACATCCAATTTAATTAACACATTTAAATGAACTTGAGTGGAAATTCAAGATCAAAGTCTTTATCACTCTCCTCAGGACTCAGCTGTGAGTCAAAAAAACAATCAAAGAAAATCTTTAATTCGAGTTAACTGGACAGCTCCGGCAGAAGAGCTAGACATCACTTTCAGGTATTTGTACACTTTGATGACCTCTAAAAGTCAAGAATAAAACTGAACTTTTACAGTTTTATTTAATATTCCACTGTGGAGCAAACAGATTTACTTTAACATCAGTGTCTGATATTTCAGAGCCACATTTGTTGAGTCTTTTAATATATTCTGGGAACGAGTGGATGTGAATGTCACTTCACCGCCACCACCACAAAGTACTACAAAGCCAAGTACCACAATGAGTACTCAGCCAAGTATTACTACAAGTACTCAGCGAAGTACTCCAGCAAGTACTACAAAGCCAAGTACTACAACGAGTAATCAGCCAAGTACTACAACAAGTACTACAGAGACAAGTACTACAACGAGTAATCAGCCAAGTACTACAACAAGTACTACAGAGACAAGTACTACAACAAGTACTCAGCGAAGTACTCCAGCAAGTACTACAAAGCCAAGTACCACAATGAGTACTCAGCCAAGTATTACTACAAGTACTCAGCGAAGTACTCCAGCAAGTACTACAAAGCCAAGTACTACAACGAGTAATCAGCCAAGTACTACAACAAGTACTACAGAGACAAGTACTACAACGAGTAATCAGCCAAGTACTACAACAAGTACTACAGAGACAAGTACTACAACAAGTAATCAGCCAAGTACTACAACAAGTACTACAGAGACAAGTACTACAACGAGTAATCAGCCAAGTACTACAGAGACAAGTACTACACGAGTAATCAGCCAAGTACTACAGAGACAAGTACTACAACAAGTAATCAGCCAAGTACTACAAGTACTACAGAGACAAGTACTATGAGTAATCAGCCAAGTACTACAGAGGCAAGTACTACAACAAGTAGTACAATCGGTACTACGAAGACACCGAACAACACTGGGAGCAAAAGAAAGGTGGATTTGATCAGAAATCTATCCATGAATATATAAAATTCAACAGTTTCATTTACACAGCTCATCATTGTTTTGTCTTCAGGGAGAAGCCACCAGGCTGATGACCTTTGACGCTTTATTTGAGGGACTGAAACTGGTATGGTATTTATAAACTCATGTCACTGTTACACAGTATTCCTACTAAAGCTGTAACTTGGCTAAACACTAATTATCAAAAATAATTATACAAGAATATGAATGTCTCTTCAGGAACTACCTAACATAATCGCAACCACCCTCACCAGCAGCCCCTTCCTTCATCGTCTAATTAAGGTAACGCATGAGTTGGAGGGCTTGTGCTGTCACAGTAACTGTTTCTAGATCTACTCATCCTGTTTCCCGTGAATTTGAAAAGTAATTTTACAAAAAAGATTTTACACTGCAAATCAGCATAGGCTATAAATGCTAAATGGCATTGCAGGCCCAGTCCAGTGCTTCTGTATCTGTGCCTTGAAAAACAAACACTAAATGAATACTAATTATTCAGCAGCATAATTGAAATTGCATTTTATTTCTTTTGTAGGGGACACAGATATCCTGTTGTTTGCTTTGCACCGCAGTTGAAATATCGGCAGCAATCTTGTATTGTTTGTGTGATTCCTCTGAAGTGAGTAATAATAAGTAGTGACTTCACTTTCACACTTTCAGAGAACACTTCTCTCTATGGATTTCCAAATTTCTGAATTGTTCTAAGGTTATTTTTAATGTTTGTGTATATGTCTGTATGTGTGTCTCCTACTCTGTGTGTGTGTGTGTGTGTGTGTGTGTCTGTGTGTCTGTGTGTCTGTGTGTGTCTGTGTATGTTCAGGTCACTCTCGTTGCTCTGTGTGTGTGATGATATTGATTGATTTGATAGAGCTGGTAATCCTGAGTCTGCCAATTGGACCCAGTCATGAGCTGTAAGTTCAACTCCTCTTCTTCTGCCTGAATTTTTGACTTGACCCTTATGTCAACACTGTGCACAGCGGTTTTCTCTTTTGTTCTATTCAAGAAAGGAGATCTGTGACCTTGCTGTCAAAGTGTGTTCTGTCATCCATATGATTTTTACAAGTAAGTTATACCTGATTTTTACCTGATACTTGTAAACTTTCCGGTATTTATTTTGCTCTGTCTGAAGACTTTTTAAAGCAATTGTTTCAACATTCAAGGAAATACATAGGCCTGAAGAAATACATTTTTTTTTTGAGAGTTAAGGCCATTCATGTTGTCATCTGCTAACGTGTTAAAAGAAACCTCATGGACTTGTACTGTATTCACCATCCTTAGTCCCATTTTATCAATTGGTTACAAACACCATTGTCTATTTTTGTCTTTTACAACAAACTCCTTCTTCTTACTGTCAGGAGGTCGATCGCACATGTGAGGAATGTGTATGCAGACCCCAGATTGTAGGAAAGCATTGTGTCCTTAGATTTCCCAAAATTTTGAACTACTGCTTTAAGACAGAGACAAACTAACCAATGTTGCCATTGCCTGTTTATTGCTCTGGTTTTAATTTCCAAACTTGTTCTACACACAGTTGCTGTGATCTTTACTGGTGTTATCAAGACTGACAGTTGCAGTAAGAACAGGACAGAGTCTTGGCTTCTGAAAGTGATGGTCGCTTACACAGCGTGGATTTTGCTGTTTGTAATTTGGGTTTTCGTATTCACTGCTCACGGAAAAGCAATACTGGGGGGAAGCAAAATAGGTGAATAGCTTGTACTACTGTTACTATGCACAAAATACAGTAGGCTATGGATTCTTATGAAGAACAAAATGATATCAGTCAGTATTTTCTGTTACAGGGAGTTTAAAAACAGGTGAGGGATGGAGGCAACAAAGAAGAAAGGTGAGCCTGTCCACATTGTGACATGTTCTGCTAACATCTTGTTTTGTCATGTGCGACATCACAGTAAAAATGTTTTTCACGTTTTCCGCTGAACCTCTGAATTTCAGAAGACGCTCAGTGCAGCCAATGTGATTGTCACCGCTGTCTCAGTAATCCTCGTCATTGGAAACATGTCCTTCGCTGCAGCTGTCATTGCTGGGATATTTGGGTGTCTGGAAAAATAGGCCTGTTCTGGTACTTTGCTTGCATGTGATTCACAGTTTTGTACATATGATACCAGTACAACCTAACAGTTAGACTAAACAAACTGGATAGTGTTGTTATTAACATATTACATATCATAAAATGGGTTGTTCATTTTCCAAGGAAGTTTAATTGTTAGGTCATATAACATCTTATGAGAGTTAAGCCTGTCAACAAGGTGAAACTGCAAATATTTGCTAAAGATCCACTTGCCTATAATTACTGTATGTATCACCTTGTGCCAGACATACCAGTTGTCATCATCAGTTGGGGAATGTTTTTAATGTTGTGATCATGTCCTCATGAGTAATGTGTGGAATGTGCTTATCTTATGAAAAACAAGCCTTGCTATACTTCATATAGACTAGCTTAAGTATTGAATTCATAAACATAGATGTTATAAAATGTGGAGAACTCACTCATGAAATAAATGTCCCCTTGTGTTTTAGGGCTAAAGGAAGGCCAATGAGATAAAACTTCAGCACATAAATGGGTCATAAAATGTGTCAGTCTGCTGACCTCATGACTCAGCCTGTTATTGCTTATGCCAGGAGTATCTGAGGTCATGGAAATGCTCAGAGTTCAGTGTGTAAGGATGAAAATAATGTGTCATAGTGATTGATATGAATTGAGAGAGATAATTAACTTCATTTTGAAAAGATATCAAGTTTTACCATAAGTTGTCTGAATATAATTATATGTGTCCAGTACTATAAACAGCTTTTTATGTAAGTGCATGATGCCATTCAACTTAATTGAAATTCATTGTCTGTTTTTGCTTTCAACATACAAGGTTTCAATACAAGGACTCACCATATATGACCTCTTGCAATAGCAATACTTGCAAATCTACACAGTAAAACCAATCTGTGTTTTGTGTTACAATGTTTTGAGTACAAAAAGAGAAATTCCCAAGTACAAGTCAAACCCATGTGAATTGTTGAACCTGAATTATTAATGTGTAAATTACAGTTATGTAAACCAGTTTTAATATATTTTACATTCAAACATTTGGACATTTTAAAATCTAGTTATGTTAGTGTCACCAGCAAGTTGTGATTTATACATGATGATTCATTTTATGGTCTTTTTGAAGGAAGCAAACTTCAGCTGTGTCCACGTTCAGTTAATAAACTTTCTACTACTGACTTAGCCTTCTGTAATTTCCTCGTTTCTTATCACAACACTGACAATGTTGCAGTCTCTTACTCATTTCACTTTGATGCTCCAGGAAACATTTTACAGTTAGATTTAGATAATTTATGTAGACAAATATACAGTGTCTGTTAACAAGATCACTCAGTTGAACTCTACGGTTCATACATACCTCTTAACCGCTTAGTATATAATTGAACTCCCCCTGTTGTACAGTTGTAAATTCCTAGTTTCCAAGATCGATACTATACACATAAGATGTTGTGGCACCTTCATTATCACTTTAACAACTTATTAACAAAAAGCAGGTTATATTCTGGGCTATGTTACATGTAGAAAGGTCCAAGAGCCATTATTAAGTCTAATGTCTCTGTGTTAAGTGTCCCTGTAACTAAGCACACAAAAGGGATGCACATCCATGGGTTAGACATTAACTGTAGTTATCAAAATCTTCATTGAAAATGTAGCCCACAGGCAGATATTATTTCAGAATGATGCCAGAACAGGAATGAGCAGTATCACAGAACACTATTTTGAAATTTACATTTGCACAAATTAGTAAAATCTGTTAGAAACCTTGTTTAGTATTGAGAAGATTGAGTGCCGAAACACATGCCAACATGAATGCTGGTAACCCTGGAGTGCAGGCTTGGCTTGCCCTGACTGCAAAGGGCACTCTATAAAATATTAAAATTAAGAAAGTCCTTAATTGTATGTATAGTGGATGATTGTAACACTTTTTAAAGGAGTGTTGCAACCCACCCCACCCCTGTTAGCCATTGTTTAGCTAGCTGTATTAGCATTGTGGTTTTACAAAGGAAAAAATGCATCACATGCTGCCTACGAAACTACATTTCAATCTAATATAATTCAAAAATGTTATCTGCAATAGTACAGATACTAAAAAAAAAATTTACTTTCTGACCTCAAAATCTGTTTTTTCTCTATATATTCTGAATGTAACGGTTTCCAGCCTTGAAAAACAACATGCCGGATCACGGAAGAAGGTAAATACTGAAATGATCACATAACTCCCATCTTATCTCTAATAGGTAGAATTGGTGTTGTTAACCCGATCTCTCCTATAATATAAACAAAGCATCTCTCTTGCAATGATCCTTATGACCCTACATTAGAATAGAATACTTACTTTATGATAACAAATCCAGTCCTTTTTACCAAATGAATTAGGCCTATATGTTGCAGCTCCCCCTTTATTACTGAAAGGTTCTTTATGCCTCAAATGACTTGCTTTAATTAGCATTATAATTGACAGATTATAACCCACCCAGTGTTTTTAACCTTTAGAAATTTAAATTTAAACTTAATAACAAACCTAATAAAGGGCCAATATAACCCATACAATGAAGTTTTGCACTTGACAAAAAGTAATTGCAGCCTCTTTTTGCCTCTGAATGACTTTACTTCATTCTTGAGCATTGTATTTGACAGATTATATCTTCACAGTAATTTGTTGAGGTACCTTTTAAAGGGTCAATACAACCAGTAAGATTGTCAGGTTTGCACTTGACAAAAAGGGATTGCAGCCTGTACTTATTGACTAAAAGGTTCTTTCTGCCTCAGAATGACTTGATTTTATTTATGATGGTATATTTGAGCGATTATTATTGTAGTTTTATTTTCCAAATACATACATAAACATATATATATATATTTCAGTACAATAGTCTTTCATAGACAAACATTGATGGCCCAAGTGATTTTTTGCAACCAGTCATTTATTCCCTTGGTCCCACATAAGAGTGTGTCATTAGTGTATGTTTAATTACTGTGATTATTATCATCTTGCATATATACAGACAGGTGGAAAATTAAATGAAAAACCTAAATAATTGAGAGTAGAAACATAACAAATGCAGATGCTTCCACAAAGGTGAACTGCATGAAGTAATTAACATCCAATGTTAGGTAGGTCCTGTGGTAGGTATAAAAATGCTATAAATATAATCTAATGCCACTGTGTGAAGTGTTCCAGAAACTAAGCACACAGGAGGCGAACCGCTTCCATGGGTTAGACAATTAACTCGTCTAGTTATCAAAATAATCTTTATTGAAAATGTATTCATGTGAGCAAAACAAAATACATTTCAGAATGATGCCAGAAGAGGAATGAGTGTAATCCCAGAACACACAAATCATAAAAATATAGCTATAAGAAACCTTGTTGGGATTCTGATGTTGTCGAGAAACAATATCAAACGATTGATGAGTGTGTTGGTACTTTTCAATTATAGTCTAATATTCTCCATATGAGTTTTTAAGGCACATTTTGTGACTGGCTGGCTAATATTTAGTCATTCTACAAATTCACTTAGTGAGAACCTGTATGTTTCTAAGTTCACAATATTGTAAGTACATTTCAGTGGTTTCTTGACAAACAGGTGCAAAGCACAAACCTTTTTATATCCAATATAATATATACAGCCATAGAAAAAATAGTCCTATTTTGGAAAGAGACAACATTTCACAAATATACACATTCAGAAAAATACAAAGAATATAAAATATTTGTCGTATAAAAGCCAGTACTCTTCGTAAGATGGATAGTCAAAAGCAAAATCAAACACAAAAAACACTTTCAGTGCAAAACAGAACAATTATGTACACAAGCAAGCCATCAGTTGTCTGGGAGATTTAAAACAGAACAAGAGATATTAATTTCCACCTAGAACAAAAATGAAACATTTTCTGTTATTTCCAAAGAAGGAACCATGCTTAACAAACACCAAAAACTCTTCTTAGATGGGAAATGTCTGCTAAAACGCTGTTGAACAAAGCGCTGTTGGTACAGATTTATGAGAAAAGAAATTAAACAATCTATACCTTGTATATTGTACTCTAAATCTGCATGGAAATACGCATTTCATACCCATCTTTGGAATTGGATTGATAATGCAAAACCATGTTACATCCTCATGCAAAGTCTGTACATGTACACATATATGTAAAAACTCAGTGCTGGACATATTGTGAGTAGTAATATTGGACTGCAGCTTGAATACATCATCATCTCTGACACAGAGAGAGAGAGATGAATACAACCCTCAAACACCTGAACTCAAGTCTATATGTGAAGAATAACAGCACACATGTTATATTTACATTACTTCTCTGTTTTGTAGCTCCTGCACAGTGCCAAGAAGATCCAAGCTGGTCCAAAGTGGTAACCAGACTTCCAGTTTGATGCCAGCTTCATCTGCATCCTCTCTGCTCTACTTCTGTCTCAGACACCACAGGCAAGATAAGATGCGAGATGCGGCTCCACAGTCCCCCAAACTTGTCAGTGTCCATCTCATCAAAGGCAGTCTGACTGCTGGAGTCCACCAGCCTTTCCTTGACATAGTCATGCACCACCTCCTCCACGTCCTTCAGACTCTGATCATCCCTGACCTCATCTTGAGGCAGCAGCACAGTAAACAGCAGAAACACCTGCTTGTATGCGGCGTTCTCATGGTCACAGTAGCGATAAAAGATTAGGGTGCAGCCTGGAGGCAGCTCTTCGAAGCGATGAATGACAGCCGCAGGTTTGTCTCCTTCAAAGGCTGCTCGTAACTGATTGTCAATGTCCAGCTTCACCTCATTGCTGTCCTGGCCTGCTTTACTCGTTCCATCAATGTGGAGGACGGAGGCGTTGAGGGCAGATGAGAAGGAGGAGGCGAGCCCCTGAGCCAGGCAGTGCAGTGTCTTCTCAGCCCTGTGGCCAGAAGTAAAGATCAGACTGACTGGCTCTGTGGGCTGGGCTGTTCTGAGGTGCTTCCCCAGGTGGATCTTGCTCCTCTTCCACACCTCAGGCCGCTGCCTGGGGAACTGAGTCTCAAGAAGAGACAAGTGATCTGCAAACTTGTCTGACTTCACAACCCCAGATGGATGCTTTCCATCATCTGCAGGCCTTTGGAGTGTAGGGATGGTCTTGCATGCCAGCAAGACAGCAACGCCGAGCAGCACCAGGAGAACCAAGCTGCAGAAATACCACATGAATCCTGAAAGGACACAAGATGACAGTCAAACGTAGTACAGCAAATTATATACAACAACTGACTTTGGGTGTAATAATGTCAAATAATGTAATTAAAATGACTATAGCTTACCTCTAGAGGAATATCCAGAGCTTCTCTTGATAACAGCAGCTTTATTTATCCCTTCTAAAAGAGATGATCTCATTAAATCAATGTCAAAAATGTCACAGCTGCAGTAGATGTTGCTTCTGTAATATTTAGTTGAAGCTGCAATACCTTTTTTGTGGGGCGTCACAGTTTCTTTGTGTGTCAGAATGTTATTCACACGTTGTCGCGTTGTGTAGGATTTCTCTGAGACTGTATACCCGCTTTGGACATGGTGGTTAACTGTAGGTGTACCTAAAGATGAGGCAGAATTTAATTGTGTAAATATCTGATAGTTTTTAGACATGTAAATCCATTGAACAGGTGCTCAATGCAATCTTTTTGAGTAAAATATGACTAAATAAAACGTCTACCATACCAGAGTTCTTGGCTTTGGCCTCCACTGTCCTCTTGTATTCCGCCATGCTGGTGGTCTTAGAACTCAGCACGTCTTGTCTGTTTGGTTGTGAACTGACATGCATAGTAGACTTGGTGAGGGGTACTGTTGCTTTTGTTGAAGATTTTACTAAAAAAAAAACAACAACAAAATATTAAAAAAAAACAGATTAGGAGACTGTATTATCCTCCCTTGATGTAATCATGCAGAATGAAGCTGTAGCGTCTTCCTACCCGTCTTGGTTTTCATCCGGTCAGCATCTTCATTTACAGCATGAATGGATCGGCAGCGCTCACCAAGCACTACAAAAGGGTCCAAATTCACATCTCCAAGGGCGCCTGATTTATACAGAGGGGCAACTTTAATTTAAATAAAACAGCTAAACTGCTTGTAATTAGATCCAATGGCAAGAAGTCATGAATAAAAGGTTAATGATGTCATGGTAAAACGACCAGAGTACAGCTGCAAATAAGATGCTACGTTTGTCATTGATAGCACCTGCATGCATTAAAACACACGTGCAAATGGTTAATATTATAAATATACAGCTTCTAAAGTGTGAGAATGTGCTGCCTTTTTGTGTTTGTATAATGGCCAGTTATATCAAAGTCACTTCATTTAAATTCTGGACCACTGCATAAAACAGGCAATATGGAGATGTGACTTGGGCTCGGGAAAATAGTGAGAGTTATGGGCTGATTGATTGGTGGTAAAAATGTTCATTAGTTGCAGCCCTAACCTTTGCATATTTTTGGTTGAGGGGTGTCATGAGAGGAATCCTGTCCAGTATCCATTTCCTGGTCTTCATTTTCCTCCAGGACTTCAGCTGATTCCTGGATATCCATCTCATTGTCGTCACCACTGCCTCCCCCTGCTCCTTCAGTCTGCAGCCGGCTCTTCTTGTTAGGGGACACTGTTAAATAGAAAATAAAAGTTTCAATTGTGTTTTTACACCGCCCTGAATTGAACAGACTGTCGCATCGTAAAATACTGTTAACTGGAGCACCCCACCTTCATCATCTGAGGCGTTCTCCACATCTCTGGAGCCATTGACAGCTGCAACAGGAGCTTGGTTTTCTGACGCTTTTCTGGTCCTCTTTAGAGGAGCCCTGGCGGTCGGCTCAATACTCAATAACGTCTCTAAGTAACGAGCAGAAAAAAGTTATTACAGTGAGTCAGTGTTCTCCTCTGTTGACTAAAGGAAATGCCAAATAACTCCCGCATGTTAACGCACAGCTCATTTCCAGTCTGGAAAAGTCCGATAATGTTAACGTTAGTTGAACTTTGAGTGAGCTAAAGTCAGCTAGCGTGCAGGGCTAAGCTAGCAAACGTTAGTTGTCATACTAGTCACTTTGCTCACCTTTAACGTTACCCGATGACTGTCTTGTCGATCGTGTCTGTCGGCGAGACATCTTATTTCCAGATACCCTGGAATCTATCTGGGATTAACCAATGCTACAACTCGAGCGATGCCAGAAACACCAATCAAACAATACTACGAACAGACAAACAACTGACTTCCGTGTAGTTGTGAGAAGTGACAGGAAGCCGTTGAATCCGGTTGAAACGCGAGCGCTGCTGAACGTTCCGTTATTCTGCATATTCGAACAACGTACGGAATAACACGGAAGGAGGGAGCGTTATTTTGGCGATGTGATTGATGGTACGCTTGGTAAGAATTAGTCATGACAAGTAACCAATTAAAAATAGTTTGATTAAGGTACACGAAAGCAATTCTTATAGACTATAGCCATGTTTTACTTGCTAACTGGTGGCTAAAAATAGAATCTCTTAGTCGACTAGCTTAGCTAGCTAACTTGACTGTTTACATCCTAACCTGCTGGCTATTTAGCTAACCAACAATTTACTTACGATGCATTAGCTTCGTTCCCCGTTAGAATGCTACGTTAACTGGCTAGGATAGCTAACGTTAACTAACTGTCACCATCTTGAACCATATTCCGTTGTAAATTAGCTCCTGCGTATTATTTATTTATATATATATATACAATTTAACCATCGGAACAGGTAAGTAAATAACTCTGAGTTTGAAAAGTAACGCTGATTGTTTTATTATGTGCTGCCAGTTCATCTAATCGGAAAACATGCATGTTTTCTGTTTCAAATCATTGGTAAATGAAAACATGGGAGTTTAGTTTTCAGGAGTAACGTTAGTGAAAGACTGCCTTTCAGCCGGTTGACAGGTGTGCTAACCTGTTTTACTTGGGACTTGACGTGTGACGAGAATCTGTCCAAAACTAATAAATGTGCTTTGGCATAACAACAAATGTTATATATTTTTCTTATGCAGCTTTGAACCATCTTGAGTGAAGTGCCCCCATCCAAAGACATGGCAGAGCAAGACGCCCAGCAGCACACAGCAGGTACTGAAACACCAGTGACAAAGGCTAGATATCAGATATATTGGGCTAGTACATTACAAAACATTTACAACAGTGGTTTATATTTATTTGATATGCCATTTACTTTTTTGTCAGATGTAAAGGAAGAAGACACGCAGTCCACACATATGGATTGTGTCTCAGGAAGTTATAAGTACAAACCGGAGGAAACTAATATTACTGAGCACATCTCAAAAGGTAAAATATTCAATCAAGGTCAATAGTTGAATGTATCTTTACCAAATGTGTTGCTGCATCGTCTGTACTAGTGAAATATGGCCTCTGACTCACCTAAAAAGATTCAGCTTCATCATCCTCAAACAGAATGTCTGAAATTAACAATGATGAAGACATGGAGCAGGATGATGCTCAAAGTAAGTAAATAGTATAAGTCAAGAAGTCTTTATAGACAAACATTGATGTCCAAAATGATTTTTTTTCAACCAGTCACTAATTCAACGTGATGGTTGTGTGTACGTTTCCCTTCGTGGTGGTGGCAGACAGAGGGCTGCTAATCTATTTCTATCAGGTTATTTCCTATTTCACTATTTTAATTGTACTTCATTCTGTACCTTACTATTTCAATCTCCCTCCCTCGCTTTTCCCCTTAGTTCTCTTTCCCTACACTCACACACACACGCACACACACATATCTCTCCGTGCCCAGTCTCTGCAGGATGTGCAGAGGCAAAATGTCTCTTCACTTAACCCCAACGTTGTTACATTTTGCAGTCTTGTTATCTACTTTGTGTTACCTACAATTAACCCTCTAAGTGTACTGTAAATCAATAGGAAATAAATAAATAGGAAAAAAGTATGAAAAAACAAACTACTGCACACTGATCTGACTTACTAGTTTATTTGTGAGCAATGCGTTTCGCCCATTGCTTCTTCAGGCTCACACAGTGAAATTACAAAAGTAGGTGTGCTAAGTAGATCCTGTGCAGGTCATGTGACTAGCACAATCCATGCATTACATAACCCCCACAAAAACAGCATCTTATACAAAGTGTCATGACATAAACAGCAAGCTAACTATCCATCTATCTATCTATCTATCTATCCATCCATCCACACACCCTTTTAAAAAATGTAAACATACATAAGTTACAAGAATTACAACATTGCAAGACCTCATAAATATCATAAGGCAAAATAGCCTGACATTCCTACCTTTAGCATATATCCCTCGAAGGGAGGGTAGGGTATTCACTATCTAAACTTTCTCTGGAGGAAAAAACTCACCTCAGCGATAGACATAATAATCAACATTACAAGAATGGGCTCAAATCCAGTGTCTCATTCAGTCCATGAGGTTCAGTTGTGTTCAATTCATGAATCCAAAAAGCTTCCCTTCTCAAAAGTTAGTTGATCATGTTACCCACTCTTGGATTAGGACTCAATCTTTCAATGCCTATAAATTTAAGGGAAGTGGCCGAACCATGGTTTTTCTCTGTATAATGTCTAGCAATGGCATAATCCATGTTCCCATTTCTAATGGCCGCCTTATGCTCTGCCACTCTCACTTTGAGATTCCGTTTAGTTTGGCCCACATACATTAAGCCACATGGACATTTCAAACCATGACAACATGGGTAGACAGACAATTTGTAAATTCTTTTATGTTGTATTTCTTTCCTGAATGTGGATGATTAAATATTTTAGTGTCAAATGTGTTTGAACAATGTGCACATTTGCCACAACTATAGTTCCCATAAAGCTGTAGTGAAAGCCAATTAGTTTGAGTGGGTTCTTTGTACATGGAACTAACAACAAAATCTCTGATTTTCTGCCTCTCCTGAAGCAAAAACGAGGTCTAGACACTGCTAAATGGTTCAAATTTGGGTCACATTCTAGGATACTCCAATGTTTGTTTATGATATGTTTAACTTGTCTAGAAATGGTACAATATTCTGACACAAATGTTGTTCTGTTTCCAACAGGTTTAGGGGAAGGCTTCAATAATTCTTTCCTATCTTTTCTATTGGTTTCTTCCACAGCCTGGTTAATAAGTGCTTGATCATATTCCTGTTCTCTAAATCGTCCAGCCATTTCTTTAGCATTTATATGATAATCCTGTTCTCTACTACATATTCTTCTTAATCTCACAAACTTACCATATGGAATATTATTAATGACATGGCTAGGATGGCAACTAGTAGCGTTTGTTTTGTTTTGTTGCCCACGGTAGGAAAAAAGTATGTTGAAGAAAAAAGCAAACGGTCTGATCAGTTACCGGATCTGGAATCGAAATGAAAATAGGTTATGTAGAATTTGAGAATGAATAGTCGCTCAGTCAGACTATAACTTGGGTGAAAATTGATTTTGGTGTTTTACCACAGAAAGGGATTCTATTGAAGACAAGACAGAAGGGTCTCCTCCAGATGACTACACTGTGCAGAATGTAGAGGGAAACAGCACTCCACCTCAGGCTGATGACGGAAGTCATGGTGACAGCAGAGAAGGACAGAAAAATGAGCAGCCGACCATTACAGGTGAGAAGATTTCAAGTGAGTGCTCTTATCGAAGTGTATCGAACCCTATTGTAATCCTATTCGTTTTTATTATTCTTCTTCTTCTGTACATAAAAGTGATAAAAATTTGCACACTTCAACCTCTAGGGGGCGCTTTAAGCAAGGTCAACGCATTTGGGCTTGGAACTCCCACATACGAAGGAGCATATCAAAAAACTTATATCCACGCGTTCGGGGGGATTGTGCTGAATCTCGTTGTAGAGGCCATGCTCATTTCAGCCTAGACTTAACTTTTTCGCAAAAACCTATTATAATTAACTCCTCCGAAGCCGCTCGTCAGACTTTGCACGGACCATCTCTGGACGAAGCCGATAAGTTAGATTGATACGCAAAAAAATGTTTGAATTATAAGCTAATAAATGTTTACACCAAACGCTAAAACCAGGAAGTGATGTCATATCATAGGTTCGGAAAGGCTGTGTAATGGCAATTATCTATTCATCTTTAGCCACAAGGTGCATTGAAAAGAAACCTGAGCTGAATTGTTCAGGATGGTCTCCTGACTTCAGGGACCCTAATATGCCCATAGGTGGTGCTGTTATTGTACATCAAAGACGTTTTATATCTCCATAAACACAAGTCCGATTGATACCAAATTGGGGCATTTGTTTACGCCAAATGCTAAAAACTCTTATGTTGCATGTGTTCCTGAGGGGCTGTATGAAATTTGGTTTTATTCGGCCAGTAGATGCTGCTGTTGATACATATAAAATTACACTCCCACAGACATGCACTCATTCTATATTTCCATGATCACAAGTCCCTTTAATATGAAACTCCATTTTGGTCATTTATTCACCACGTGCCCCCGACGCCGTGTGCAGCATTTCATGCGATTTGGCCAAAAGGTGGCGCTTTTACTGCAATGTCAACGATGCAAGAAAATGTAATTTCAATGAATAGGATTTTGACATTACATCAGGGAATGTTATTCATCACGGCCTCGGCTGCCTCGTTATGTTCGGGGCACTGGGGTGGGCTCGAGGGTCCTCCGCAGGGCAGGGGTCGCGGCTGGCACAGGGTGGCTTGGACCCCTATCACAACTGCTTGCGGTTGTAGTTATTCATTGTATTCACACACAAGAGCTTGGACAATCAGCTGGCTAAAGACCTATAGCAAGTGTGATTTAAGTAAATAACATCGATGACAATTCTTTCAATGTAGATGTGGGCATGTGAATATTTTAATTAAAAAAAATTGTACCTATCCTTTAAAGGTAAAATGTGTAATTGCTGGCTCCAAACAAGTAGGGGGCAGCATTTCACCTCCTTATCCTCCTCTCCCCTTCCCCCCAAACACAACCCCAGCCCCTGCATGTTTACAGTGAGCCTGCGCTATGCAGTCATCAAGATATTCTACTTCTAGATCCTATCACAGATCCTATTACAGCCAGCCCACATTACTTTTATGATGCAGCAGTGTATTGCTACTTGCTGCTTTGTTACTTACAGTAATGTTTATATGTACGCCCAGTATAGTACATCATCAGTTAGTTAGCAAACTATGTAACTAGAAACAGTTTTCTTTGGTTATTGTTAGACTGACGATGATGAATTCACACCCAGTCTGCCCAGCCAGAGACAAGGAAGTGGCGCCAGGAGACATTGTAGAGGTAGCGGAGGAACGAGAGGTCGAGAAGTTAGGGAGAACAGTTAATGCAGGATCAAGAGCTAACCTTTGTCTTCTCATGACTCCTTATCGCCTCTGAGGTATTACTGTACAACACAGGATGAACTGGGGCCACTTCACATTCTTTTGATAATGTTAGTAGATTTTTTAAAATGTAAAATTCTTACACATTGCACCTTTTTAATACGGTGAGATTGAAAGGGCAACTTTCACTGTACTGGACCTTTTTTTTTATTTATTTTTAATTTCCACCTTAAAATGTAACTGTAGAGACACTGATGCTTGAGCTCTTGTGGTTAATCTGTTCTAATTTTATCAGGAGAGCACCACACGGGGAGAATAAAGCACCTCAAGCAACCATTTTACTGACCCTGGGTGACAGAAATGCGCATTCATATATTTCATCAGCAGATTTTTCTCACTGAGCCGCCGGCTGCTTTCATCAGATGCAGTTGGTGAGATCGGCTGTATGTGCATGCTTTCTTTTCTTTAGTGCAGTTTAGTGACTTGTTAAATCGTTTACTACGTTTTATTGTAGTCTATTTGGACTAAACACTCAGGAATGATCAGCCTCACATGTGACTGAATGAAAATGATAATATATGATGTAAAAAGTGTTTCCTGACACACACTCTGACTCTGACCGACGTTAATTGTCTCCATAATAAAAGTTATAACCGGAAAGTGAAATCTGTTTTAATGAATGAAGAAAGTTGTGTGTGGGGCTTTTGTTGTTCACTCCTACAGTGAACAGATTATAACTTGACAGTAAATCATAAAATCAAATGTAAAACTTGATAGCAGTGATACACGTTTAATCTGTTGTCTGTCTTCACTGGGTATGATACTTCGGTGATGTTGTGATGTAGCAGGTATGTCTGATCAGCTGCAGCATCCAATCAATACAGCTACAATCAAAACAACTACCGAATAAAGGGACGTGTTGATCAGTCAAAGACTTCTGCGAAGGATGCACTTGTGTATCCTCGGTCATGGCTCCTCAGTGATTGGTCCTCGATCCTTGCTCCTCAGAGCACAAATTAGAGCAATCTCTGCAAGATGGTGGAGTGGAACAACTTCCGGTTCGAGTGAGGAGCGAGGAAACGTCAAATAAGGGAATTGAGAAGCACCTATAGTAGATAAGACAACTCTCACTGCACCGGACCTTTTTTATTTCCACCTTAAAGTGTATCTGCAGAGACACTGATGCTTGAGCTGTTGTGGTTAAACTGTTCTAATTTTATCAGGAGAGCACCACACGGGGGAGAATAAAACACCAGAAACAACCACTTCACCGACCCTGGGTGACAGAAAGGATGACCAAGTAGATGGACACATAGCTGGAACTGATGATGAAACACCAGGCACCAACAACATAGTCTCTGAGGGTGAGTCTCACTTTTTTTAAATTTCAGTGATAATTTCTTTTTCCTTTAGCTTTCTGCTGTGGGTTGCCGAGCTTCTGGACGTTTTTAGTTACACAATAGTTACTTCACTGGTAGGAAACCAGTGAGGGAGCATAAACATGTAGAAGCACAAGTGATTTGCCATCGTTTGTGGTAAAGTTTTTTTTTTTTCTCCCATTGGTCAGATGATGAAGGAGTCCTGGTAACTCCCGAGGAAGAAAAGGATGTGCAGGAGGACATAGCCTCCCCACAGACAGCAGTGCTACAGCAAATCTCAGTTACGGAAGAGAGCGACAAACAGACAACTGATGTTGAAAACATTGGCCCAACTACTGAGCAGAACGCTGCTGAACCTATAGTTCCGGCGAATACTGGAATTCTTGGAGGTAATCTTACCTTTGCTTTATGTTTGATCTTCTCTTGTCACAGTGATTTACTAGCCAAGCAAGTGAACGAAGTTGAACTTTAAAATCGAAGGGCAGCCAAGACCTTACCATCTCAAAAAGTCATCTATGTTGTTGCGATACAGTTATAACTAACATGAATTACTTATAAAATACTGGTTGAGATGATGTATGTTCCTTCTCTACACAGGAAATATAACATACCTGGGTATATGTATAGTGTTAGTTCTTGCCATCCTGGTGCAGCATCTTCGCCAACCTGAATCTCCACCTCAGAAAAACGATACGCGGAAAATAGACATCTTCCTCGAGCAGATGGAAAAGGTGAAGGCTCAGTTCCCTAACCAGCGCGCTGAGCTCTGGAATAGGAGCAAGATCCACCTGCTGAAGCATCTCCGGGCAGCGCAGCCCACAGAGCCAGTCAGTCTGATCCTGACTGCGGGCCTCAGAGCCGAGAAGACACTGCAGTGCCTGGCTCAGGGCCTGGCCTCCGCCTTCTCTTCTGCCCTCAGCGCCTCCGTCCTCCAAATCGATGGAGCCAGCAAAGCCCGCCAGGACAGCGACCAGGTCAAACTGGACATCGACAACAACTTGCAGGGAGCTTTCGAAGGAGACAAACCCGTGGCTGTCATTCACCGCTTCGAGGAGCTGCCTCCAGGTTCCACCCTGATTTTTTATCGCTACTGCGACCACGAGAACGCTGCCTACAAGAAGACTTGTCTGATGTTCACAGTACTGCTGGGAGAAGAAGAGGAGATTCCCGCCAACAGTCATTTGAGTATTGTGGAGGAGATGGTGGACGACCATCTTCAGAAGAAGTTCCTCTCTGATGAGCATCCTGTATCTTATGACAGGATGGACCTTGACAAGTATGGTGGACTCTGGAGTCGTATTTCTCACCTCATCCTCCCTGTGGTAGCAGAGGAAAGGATCGAACATGAAGGATGCTCTGAGACATGAACTGTCCCTCTTGCATACTGGGCGACTTTACTGATCATTCTGAGGCTAGTCGCAGTGGTTTTAAAGGTTTCTTACATATACCATGTTCCTACATCTGGCACACAGGTAAAGGTATCAAGTAGAAATAAGACACTTAAAATGATTAAGATTATTATATGGGATATTTGGAGGAATTTCTGTGGACAATCAGGGAAAAAAAATTGACAAAAAGACTGGTACTTTGTTGTTTAAGTACTTTGATCAAATATAATTCTAAGACATATTGCAAAATGAAGAGTGATTCAACTAGGGGCTGGGTCAATTGTGAAATTTTGATGTTGACTGCTGCAATTTTTGTAAATTTTTAAATGTTATTTTATGTAAGACTTGATTGTTCTCCTATGGATAATGGTCACAAAGAGTTACAAGGCGGAACTACTCTTGGTATCACAACATGGGGTTTATTATGTTTATGACAAATGTCTTCTCTGGATTCACACACCTACAGGGCACCACGTGCCCTAATTGGGTTTCCCGTGGTCCGTTTTCTATACAAATGAAATAAATTAATAAGTGCATAAATTAAATGTGCCTTAAAATACGAATAAAAGTGTAAATCCCAGTGTTTTATCTATTGTCTTTGGAGTGAACACTGTTGCCGCTAGAGGGCAGCAAAACCACATCTGAAAGTGGGCGACAGATCCGCATCAATCAGCACCAGGCTGCTACTTTGTATTTGACCTCGAAATATGTTTAAAACCCGCAATTACAAGAATTTAAACGTAAGAGTCGAACTTTAAGCGACTTTTTAAACTCATGATAAGTAATTATAGTCGTGCTGCACATGATGTTTGAGAAGTCCTCTGAAGCAGTCCAACTCCTCCTCGCCTGTTCGGTCAGGTCCGCCTCCTGTCAGCGCTGCTGCAGATGCCGGCTGCTCTCTCAGAGTGCTCGGTTTGTCCTCACTCCATCACACAGTAGCCCGCGTTCGCTGTGACAATGAAAAAGATGACATCGCGCTATAAAGCTTAATCTCGCAGTCTGATGAGGCGTCTGGATGCACTCTTATTTTGGAGGCAGGAACAGGCTATGACATTTTCTTGGCAGCTGAATTAGTTGGTGACAGGCTGTGCCTGCAAACATACTTGCAACATTATTTGTCTTTCGGCGCTCTGTGAGCCTTACGACATGTATAAGTTATGCGCTGTCTTCGTGATGTGGTGTGCGTTATTTCCACGCGTCTCTGCAGCGCCAAAAACCTGGGGTGAAGATCCCAGGTTACAATTTGAGAGCAAGGCAGAGCAAAATGACAAGCTACAGGAGGAGGTGGATGGCCAGGAGAGCATCCTCTCTAAGGTAAGAGGAAATAGGCTATCCCTTTGCTTCACTTCTTTGCCTTACATGTTTTATGGACATCATATCATTTCGTGAGAAAAAAGTTTTTGAGCGTTGTGGAAAATACATCCGTCCTCTTCTCTTTGTAGCTGCTGGGTGATTATGACAAAGTGAAAGCACTCTCGGAAGGCTCTGACTGTCGGTGTAAATGTGTTGTCAGACCCCTGAGCAGGAGCGCCTGCCGGCGGATAGAAGAAGGGAGCGCCGCTGCGCAGGACTTCTACACTGTGGAGACTATCACATCTGGACCGGAGTGCAAGTGCGCCTGCATCGCTCCTCCGTCAGCAGTCAACCCATGCGAGGGAGAGTTCAGGCTGAAAAAACTTAGGGAAGCTGGAAAAGAGAATGTCAAGGTGAAGTGTCATCCTATTCGTTTCCCATGCATACTAGAGCCTCCACTACACGTAAGTCCCATTTGCTCCAGAGCCAAAGGCCTGCTGTCTTGCTCGCCTTTTTATTCCCAGAGAGGCCTGGATCACTTAGGGCATGGATATCACATTTTTATTAAATTCAGGGAAGGATAGCCCCACATTTTATCCCCAAACAGACTCAGAGTTCTGATGGGCTGTGGATAGGCCTATTTTACGCATGGCATGTCATGAATTGGTGAGTCCTTTTGACGGAATCCACTTGATCATTCTAGCTGTCCACCATCCTTGAGCTGCTGGAGGGCTCCTTCTACGGCATGGATTTACTGAAGCTGCACTCCATTACCAGTAAGCTCCTGGATCGCGTGGAACACATTGAAAAGGTACAGGAACAGTGTACCTTATTAATGCAAATATGTTTGTATAACATAAGCCCATACTTGTGATAGCAGGTGATTTTGTATTGGTAGCTTTTGGATTCAGTGGGTTCTGTAAAACACACTCTTTGGGCCGGTTTTCAGATTTATTAGGGCCTGGACCTGGAAGGAGTGCTCAGGCCTTCCAGCACACGTGGAAGCTGATCTGAGTATTGAACCCTGCGTAGCTGACTGACCAGTTATAAGGCCAACAAAGTACCTCTGTGGTCCTTTTTTTCCATTCGTATTAGTAAATGCAAACGTTTAAGGGTGAAAATTTAACCAAATGTTTATTCATTTATGTAGAATGGTATTTTTAGTTAACTAAATGTGTCGGTTCAAATGAAATGGCTTAAAGCTTTACAGTATGAATTCTTTAATGTGAGGATGGGTTCACTCAGGAAATAACAGCAATAAACAGTTTGCCTTTCCACAATTATACTCAACAAACTCCATATATCATGAAGTATCAGAAAGTTGTCCCGCCCAAACAGGTGCACACAGAGACACACAGACAAGAGTCTAATTATCTAAACAATCTGAAAGCTCCTGTCTTTTATATTACATAAATAAATAAAAAATCTAAATAATCTTGACTGGAACAATTTAAAATGACTGGATTTGAGGACTAAAGATTAGAGTTCTTACCTCAGTCAAACTTGGTCCAGTCAAATATGGCATCCAATCATGTCTATAATTGCCCCCAAAATGTTTGTAGGTGTTCCCTATGTATACTGATTGACTGAGTGAATTGGATCACTGATCAAATCTACATTAATTTGATGAGTTACTGTGACCTGCTGGACAGATCTAAAAAGACTTAACAATAGCTTCATGTACAACATACTGTACCTGCCTGATGTTTAGAAAGCTGTGGTGTACAAACTGTCAGGGCAATCTCTGCATTTCTTTCTCATTTTCACAGAGTTGTCTTGGCACGGAAAACACAGCTGCAGTTCATAAAATGAATGTGTAAATCAAGCGTATCCATTATTGATTTTATTAGTTTCAGCTGTGTGCTGGTGTGACACGTGAAAAAAAGGTCAACTGTGGAGGAGTGGAAGGGTAGGGACGTCACTGACAATTAGTGAGCAGAGATGCTGCGTTCTGTGCATTCTGGAAAGTGGAGGGGAGATGAGCGTCTAGTGCACTCATAGCACAGAGGACATGTTGACGTGCCACAATAAGAGAGGCACATGTGAAAATAAAATGAATTATGGCTGAACCCCATTTAGCTGCTTCAGTATCAGGGTCCTGGTATGGTGCATGCTGGCTCACTGTCACACTGTCATGACTTACTGGGACACTTGAATAAAACAGAGCGATTGTTAATGGTATTAGTAACGCCTGTGTTTTTAGTACTATGACAAGTCAAAATGTCTGCTGCGAATTAATAACTCAAGATTGTAGTCTTTAATTTTTCCGTCTGTTACTGATTATGACTGCTGGGGCTTGCAGCCTATTTTCCATTTCAAACATGCACAGCATTTGTTCCCCTTTCTGTTAATGTCTTGATTTGTCCATGACTGCATGAAGGCGGTGTCTCTGAACCACACCACGGGTGAGGTGAAGCCCCAGGAGAGCCCTCCGATCCAGCCACATGTGACTGAAAGCCCCCCCACCGCTCCCTCCCACTGGCATCAGGACAAGAAGAGACTCAGTGAGCTCGGCGGTGCCACAGCATATAAAACCCCAGAGGTAAGTGACTGATATCACAGAGTTAACAGATGAGGTCAGGAACGAAGACGTAAAGAAAGGGGCTAAGCTATGAACACCAGTCTGTGGTATTGGTAGTTTTTTATGTTATTGTTCTATAATAATATAGTAATCACTATTGGTACTAAAGGTAGTGCCACAAACAGTATGTGTAGTTATTACTTTGTATTTACTAGTTAGTTATTGATGCAAAAAAGTGATTACTTTTTTTGTCATTATTTAAGCCTTAAGAGGTAGTTACCTATAAATAAAGCTGTAACAGAAATGTTATAGTGTCACACTAAGCTCATTATTTAGCCAATATCACTAAATAAGGTAACAAGTTATACAGTAATTCCTAGTATTTACCAGATAATTATATAACAATTACTAATACAGCAAATGATATGGAGTTCTAACTGTAAATATTAGGTATACAAATTTGCTGAATGATGATGATACTATGTTTTTTTCCTGGGAACCTTTATGTAGCTTTTTTTTTTACTGCTTATTAACTTGTAAATATTAGATAACCACTGTACCTGTTTCAACCATGTTGATTGGCACTCGTGAGGTAATTAACTCCACCAGAAGTATGCAGTAAATACTGAGTATTTTCTCACACATTAAATTACACCAGTGTGGTATAGTCATATTACTGTGATGTAATACTTATAGCAGCTTAAGAAAGTTGAGAAATGTATTCACAGTAAGACATTTTGATTCTAAAATCAATCGAGATTGTCACAAATCCTGATATGATTGTATATTGAAAGCCATTGTGAAGGCTGAGACTGAATTTAGGAAAGAAAGACCTGTAAGTGATTGGATTCACATGTTGCTGCTCAGACTGATGAAGCATCATGGGAGAGTCTTGAACACATAATTGTTGCTTCAAAACAACAGGAACACTTATGTGTTCTTTCCACAAACTCCTTCATAAAGTCTCCCTGATTAAGGACCAAAAATGTGAAAGAGTTATTGGGGTAATTGGAGGGTTTGGCAGACCCAGTGGACAATAGCAGACCTCAGACCAGTGACTGGAGAGCCTGTCCAACAGTGTTGGGTGGACCTGGGCTTCACATGCAAGTGATTCATCAGGTTAATGTGTTTCACAAGAGCACTTAAAACAAGCATAAAACAAGGTTTTTAATGAAAAATGTTCTTGGTAGGGTGAATGTGCGTAAGAAACAGCATTCACACTCTCATGTGAATGCTTTAGTAAAATCTGTGTCATTGATCAAAAGCTTATATTGTCCCAGCATGTAATCAAACAGATGTTTTGGTCTCATCCTACTGCATGGTTTATGTTTTGTGTACGTTGTGTGTATCCATCTGTCCACTAACAGGAAAAGAATGAGGAGAAGTTTATTGGAGAAAACCTGTCCTACCTACAGACAGATAGTTCTGCTCAGATCCTTGAGATCAAACCTCAGGTGACTCTCAAAAATGTGGCTAACAAGGAGGCTTCTCAGGTGTCAAAGACTGGCTCCAACGGAATGATCATCAGAGGAATTACTTTTTATAAATCGGAGCCAGATCCAATGGTGGCAGATGATGGGGAGCCTGGAGAGAACTGTAAGTGCAAACCCTCAGTCAGCTTTAAGGGCAGCAGTAGAGAAAAAAAATGGCTTGAGAAAAATTTGACATCTGTACATTACATTGGTGCGATAATCAGGTGATCGTCCAGTTCACCCACAATCTCACAGCTGTGCATAAAATGTATAGCTACCATCAACTTTTCCTTATACGCCCACACTGCTAACTCTGCTCTGTCAGTTGCTGTGACCACTGCCAAAATGTACATTTATAGTTGGGTTTCTCCTGTTTATTTGCACTATGCACTATGAGACAACTTACTTTAGAATTTCTGTGGTATCGGATAAAAAAATAAATTACTAGTGTGCCATCTTTTCCTTCCTCTTTTTTAGTTTTTGAGTACCATGGATTCAGTGGTGATGGCCCAATTAACCTCTTGATTGAAGAGAATCTTCTACAACACAAAGCCCCTCGCCCCAGGTCGAGGGAGGGACCTCGATCACTCCGACCAAAGACAACCGGTTCTTTGCATGATTCCAAGAAGACCAGCCAATCGTCAGAACCGAAAGAAACTGAGCCCACCTCAAAAACTCATTACGAATTCATCAGTGCCATTGGAACCACATCAAGGGATGTGTCTGCAGATGTACAGAGTGACACATCTGTCACGTTTGAACCAACCACTACCACAAAAATAACCAGGACCACAGTCACTGAACCCCAGACTACTCAAAGAGTCACTGCCGGAATCACTAGGTTGCCAGTCCCTTTGATGGCTGAACCAGTCGGTACTGCTTTAGGCATCACTGCCAAGGAAACAACCAAAACTACAGTGAACACACCCCAACCCTCTGAAAATACAGCCACAAAGGAAATCCTACTAGCATTCACAACAAGAAACATACCAACCACCATGATGGAAACCTCTTCTCCTTTGTTGAAAGACCAAATGCAAACCATACCTGGCGGTACTGCTGCTCATTCAAGCACACTTGCACCAACTCCAGCCACAGAGGCTTCAACTGCCAGCCCAACTTCCACTGTGACCATCACAGCCCATGCTGCCCCGACCTCAGCACCAGTACACCCCACAACAGCCTCCACAACTGCTGCTGCCACAACACCAAGAGAGGAAAATGAATCGACCTTCTCTTCAGGCTCGACTTTGCCTCCTACCACTCAGACACTGATCAAGTTGTCTCCCCACACTTCTCTACCTTTAACCACACCTGTGACTACCTCTTCTTCAGCCACTGCCACCACTGCCACCACTGCCACCACAACCACCACAACCACCACTACCAGGCAGGCTGCTCAATTCAAAAGGAAATACAAAATCAGCTGGGAAGAGGAAGAGGGGGAGGAGGTACACCCAGAATTAGACGAGCCCATGCAAAGGCAGGAGGAATCAACTTCAAGAAAACCCGGTAAACTGAGTTTATATGTTGAATGATGGGAAGACCGATCATATGTTTATCAAGTTGACATTTTAATATAAATAAATGTCAAATAATTGTAATCAATACCAAATGCATTCACACTTTTTAAGAAAAGCACCACCTACAAAAACTGTAAAAATATGTTACAGTGTTAGACATGGGGATTGGCAAGTGGGAGGTGCAATAATACAAGACTAAAAGGTTGCAGCTATGCTACCAGCTCTTTGAGGCTACAAGTAGGCAACAATGGTGCTTTGAGCTCAATGCTAATGTCAGCATGCTAACTTTACCATGTTCCCCTTCTTATTTAAAAACACAAAAGTTATCCTCATGGTGGCAATAGAAGAACAGTCAGGGGATCACTAAAGTCATTGGGCTTCATCCTCTGGGGACCATGAATGTCTGAACCAAACCTCATGTCAATCCATCCAAATGTTGTTGGACCGACTGACCAAATGACTGGCAGACTGATACTGCCATCCCAAGAGCCAGAGTGACTAAAAACAACTTAGCAAGTACTTGTAAGAGCTTATAACCAAAGATATTGCCAGAAAAACAATCCTGTGATTTTTCTTGTGAACATTTGCTGTAATGGCCTTAACTCTTTTCATATTCTTATGAAAGACGTAATTTAGAAAAATATTAAATTGATCTTGTCCTATGAATCTCTAAACTTTGTATTTTAGTTCCCAGTCCTTTGTGGCAACCTCACCCTTTCCGTGATTGAAGCTGGTTAAAACAAAAGGCTCTAATTATTTTCAGACTCTGACGTACGTCTGGATAATGTTGACCTGCTTCTAAATCCTCACTCATAGCGGTCTGACTCTTTCACAGGGGAGTGTAAGGACACTTTGGCAACAATCTCAGAGCCAGTAACTCACAACACGTATGGCAGGAATGAAGGAGCATGGATGAAGGATCCAAAGTCTGATAATGACAAAATTTATGTCACAAACTTCTACTACGGGAATAACCTCCTGGAGTTCCGCAACCTGGAGGTTTTCAAAGCAGGTTAGAGCCGGTAGTCGAAGCTTTCACTAAATTACTTTTTGTTTTCCCGATACTTACTGATGAATCTCATGCTTCTCCATTCTTCTTTATCCTTTCTAGGCCGTTTTACCAACTCATACAAGCTTCCTTACAACTGGATTGGCACAGGCCATGTCGTCTATGATGGGGCTTTCTACTACAACCGTGCATTCTCCCGAGACATCATCAAGTATGACCTGCGTCAGCGTTATGTGGCTGCCTGGACCATGCTGCACGATGCTCTGTTTGAGGAGGCGTCGTCACCGTGGGAATGGCGCAGCCACTCGGATGTCGACTTTGCCACGGATGAGAGCGGCCTGTGGATCATCTACCCGGCACTGGATGACGAGGGCTTCTTACAGGAAGTGATTGTTCTGAGTCGGCTGAACCCCTCAGACCTCAGCATGCAGAGGGAGACCACCTGGAGAACTGGTCTCAGGAGAAACCACTACGGGAACTGCTTCATCGTGTGCGGCGTCCTGTACGCTGTTGACAGCTACAACCAAAAGCACGCCAACCTGGAATACGCCTTTGACACGCACACAAACACTCAGATGACTCCCAGAATGCCCTTCACCAACAACTACACCTACACCACACAGATTGACTACAATCCCAAAGAGGGTGTTTTGTATGCGTGGGACTATGGACACCAAGTAACATACAACATTAAGTTTGCCTATGTAGACCCTTAGTAAGGGTTTGACAGTAGTGATAAAAAGTTAATTCTATGGTTTGAATGGATTGTAGATCAGTCCACATGGCCTTCAGTACGGAGACTAACAGGGGCCAAATGTACAAATGTACTTCAGTATATAGTGACTAAACTGTTTTGTTCTTATCAAGATTTTTTAAATTTTTACCTGACATAAATGAAACGATGAGCCTGATTTCTCAGTCAACGCACCAAGTTGTACTGTATATATTGTAATACTGTAACAAAAAAAAAAAAAAAAAAAGCCCTATGAGATAAATGAATGCAGGTAGAATAAGTTCATATCTTGGGTCAAATAACGCTTTCACATAAAAGAACCAGTTCATAGAAGCCTACTCTTTGGACAAATTACATTTTTCTGTTTTATACACATTATTTTGTATTACATTTTTCTTTGCATCATATGCCACAGGTCCTCCGTGTGGTAATATCACAGGTATTGCTGTTGACCTTTGTCTTGTGAAAGCACTTACTGCCTCCATATCAGACTGTTCTGAGGAGACTACAATAAAGTTTGGAAATACTAACAGAAAATGTCTTCTTTGTTTGGCTAACCACAATGAAAGAGGCTTTAATTGCAGCTTATGAGTGTCAATTCAATTGGACAATGGTGAGGACAGAAGACAACCGGGTAGACAGAAAAACCATAAATAACAGACAGAGAGAGAATGGTTGTTCAAGCCTGTAATTTATTGTTACTAGATGTAAATTGAGTTATTATGGAAAAAAAACCCAGGAACAGTTAATCTTTTATACCTGCTGAACAAAAATTGAATAATGCAGTTACAGGATTTCCCTGAAGCCAGAAGAACGCACACAAAAGGTATAGTTAGAGAAAATCCAGTGTTTATTTTGGTTTACGCACATAGTAGAATACAAACAAACAACACTTGACACAAGTTTTTAATTGTACTCTTGCCTTGTCCCAACAGTAAGTACTGGGATGCAGTGAAAACACTGTGGTGAATCAAATATTCTTAAAACCAAAAGGGAAAAATTACACAGAGAGCCTGGCTTAAGAAAAGAAAACTGCATGTTTTTTTCTGAACATTTTTTATGGGCATCTGTAGAGCTACACCATAACCATCTGTACAATCATTTAGCTAAAAGAAAAGTACTTTCAGATACAGAAGTATGTTGTTTTATCAACATATACAAAAACTATGAGCTAATTCTGATGTATAATTTCTTATTTAATATCAATTTTATTCTGTTATAGGTAGCAAAAACAAGGTTACAGACACATTAATATAGGGCATTTAAAGCCAGAACTGAACTTCCCAGGTTCTGTATTTATAGTGCATTTTTTTGTAATTTGTACTAAAACTATCAGATAATACAACTCCATCACACAGTTTAAAAAAAAAATAAAAAAGTCCAATAGGCTGCAATTTAAATGCAAGCTTAAGTGCACTTAAGTGCAATTTGCCTGTGGACAGAGAAGTCAGGACTCAAACTGAGTTTTGTTTTTTTATACCAGTGGTTACATGTCAAACATCAACCTCTTTAGCTCAGCTGTTTAAACAGGGGTTTCAAATTTGATGAACATTTTTACAATGTTTCCTTCCAATCCAAAATATATTATTTTATATACAATATCATTTAGTTTTCTGTAGTCAATTGAAAAAAAAATCCTGCAAAGCATAACCAGACAGTAAATCTGGACAGAAGAATGCTTTGACAGCTGAAATAAGTGACTTGCATCACACCACAGGATTTGGCATTACTGTTACACAATAATACAAATAAAAATGTAAAGTATCTGAATCTGTTCATCAGAGAAGCACAGTGCAAAGACCGAAAAATTAAGAACTGAATTTCTTCATCAATACGATGCTTAAAACAGAGCACCTGAAATCCTTAAATTAATGGAATCCAGCCAACAACAGTGGTTAGCCTGCTAGCTTTCACAGATCACCTGACTTCCTGAGTTTACTGTATGCCTCGATTGCTGCATGTAATCAATCTGGCATCTCTTACTTCTTTGTGAATAAAATTAGCTTAATTTAAGAGACTACAAATGAGTACAAGAGATGACTTCAGCACTCCATTTTGTAGCTAAGATACAAACACAGAATTTGTTGTGCTCCTAAACACATTGAAATCCAAAATGTATTTATCTGTCTTTAATTAGGCAAGTTCCCTGTGAGATTAATCTTAGATGTGTAATCATTTTCTATTTTCTCCTCTGGCTTTGCAGCTTGTCCCAGAATTAAGAGCCACAAAAGAAGGAGCAGACTTGAGGAGAGCTGGGGTAAAAGTATTTGTGTTATGACGGGGTGACTCAGGGTTCAATGCTCTGCCCCCTGCCGCTAAGCAATTACTCTTATGCGGGGCGTCTGGGGTTACAGGGAAAAGTCAAGGTTGCCACACAAGGAGCTAGCGTTCTCCTCGGACCCTGTTACAGACTACCACCGGATATCAGCCCTAATAAAGAATGTGGCTGACTGGTGCTGACAATTTCAGCTACCTATGTATTGTAATGACTGGATTTCATTCAAATCTAAATCTCAATCATGAAGTCAGCGGGAGCACACCAGATTTCAAATAGACGTCAACATGCAAAAAAAAAAAAAGAAGAGTTAACTGAGGTGTTTTGTTCTGTTTTGTATTCATGGGTTTCGCTAAGGAGTTATAAAATATTACAGGTGCTGCTGGTGATCTTAAGACGACCCCATTAGGACGCCGACAGGAGGCACGGCCTGGCTGTCGGTCGGGGAGTTCTGGTAAAACGTGTCCGTATGGTTGACCCGGAGCAAAGGTGGGATGGTGGAAGACCTGATGTGGAGGATCCTGGTGTCAGTTACTTCGCAGTCAATCTGCATCATCACCTCATACTGCTTGTCCCTTATGATGCTGTCTGTAACCGGAAAGGAAGCAAAAGGTTGTTAGTTTTCAATGTGTCAATAAATGCATCAACAAATAAGTTAGTGGTAAATGAGCTATATAAATCCACTGGTCTATCACCAGTGGATTTATATATCGCAGCAACAGCTTTAATCAACTCAAGACACAAATACCACACTGCCAATCTGCATTCATCATCATTGTTACTGGCAGTTTTTTGTCATACTTGCAGAAAGACATGATAAGGGCGTATCTATCTTATTTTGGGAGTGTAAAGGGGTATTGTTTGAGGCAGTTGGGGAGCTGAGAGTATGGGTGGAGGCTATGTTACAGATAGAGTCCAGAGGTGAGTCACATACTGGATTTCTCCCTCATGGAGATAAACAAAACAGCTCTAAACAAAAGCAGGGCATGCAAATTTGAGGGGAGAAAAGAAGAAACTCTGGCAAGAGTGTGGGAGAGAGAAAAAGAGAGGCCGAGAGAGATCACTGATGATGAGTCAGGATTCTTCAGGCTCCTCTTGCTCAGAGAAGAAAAGAAGAAACTGGGGAAAGATTGTGGGACAGAAAAGTGATCGATGTTGATGAGTCAGGCTATTGTGTTTGAAAAAAAAACAAAAACCAAAAACAAAACAGAGACGGCATCACACAGTACAATAAACACAATGCTCGTTATCAAAGATAAATAAATTTTCACAAGGTCATCCTGAGGTTTGACCCACAAAGTAATTGCTCTGGTTTGATCTGGGAAATTTCAACTTTGGAAAAAGATGCTGGACATGGTTTGTGGTCTTCCGCAGCCTGACTCTGCTCAGCCTGGGGGGAGGGGGGAACATCCTTTAAGTAGACACGCTTGTAAACTTCTTTGCTAGAAAACGCTATTAACAGCATGTTGAGAGATCACTTGTGTATTTACATTAACAGACAACTTCAAAACTCGTTGCTTCCTTTGTGTGTCGGCGAGAGAGTCGAGATGACATCAACATTCTCCATATGGAGCACAAGCAAGCCAAACACACCTCGTGCCAGTTTTATTGCACTCGTATATGACCCAGAAAGAGAGCTGTAGGCGTCTTTAAAATGCCTGAGCTCGCTGCAAGTTGTTTTTCCAGACACCTGTGCAAGACATCAGCTTCTTTTGCATCTCTGCAGGATTTCCACTAGCGAGCACTTTAGATGCAGAGGGGGTTTATCTGATCGTGCTGTGACAATTCAATAGGCCCCTCCGGCAGTCGAAAGACTTCACGGATGTTCACATGATTAGATAGTCAGTGGACGTAACGGTGAGTATGACTCTACTGCCGAACTTCCTCTTTTGCACTTGCAGTGAAACCTGAACTTTTCAAATGGCTTCAGCGTTTGAACAGGCATCTCTGGAAATCATCCTCTGGGTTAGGATTTTGCCCGTTGTCACGCCATGTAAAATTTGGCTTCTGCCTGAGGCTGGGAAACTTATTCTGTGTATCTCCATATAGCTTGATGAGATCACAACAGATTATTACACAAATCAAGCCTGTGGATTCTGTTCAGTTCAAAATAAACTGTTCTGACATTACCAGCACTTAGCTAATTTCATCCCAATAATAAATATAATTCCAACAGATAGGCAGCGCAAAGTGTCGAAACATGTCACATACATAATCCAAATGCGTGACAAATGGAGGACGACTAAAAGGGAAATCCTGCAAATAATGATGGACATGTAATATAATGAATAACAAAAAAGTAGGCATGGAAGAACAAAACAAGAAGTCTTTGAATAAAACGGCTAATCATTTTGTACTTATGAAGGTATAGTAAGTGAATATTGTCTCAAAATGTTTTGAAATAATTTAACTGTATTGTAAAAGACGCGGGAGAGATGCAGCAGTGGGCAGGAGGCAGCAGCTTTGAGTAGTGAAATCACCATGTAGTTTTTTTGGGTGCAAGAGTTTGCTAGTCTAGTTTTAAAGTTAACTTTAGCCCACCTTTCTTGTACATCATACTTTCATCAGGTGAGTTAAACACTCATAACTATGGTGTCCAATCCAGGAATATGCAACGGTGGCCTACTATATCTGTATATCAGCTGTTCCAGTGGGCTCCTTTCACAATTTTTCACACTTGTTTTGCCCCACGTACTCACTACTCAAGTACATTGTACTGCATTTTAAAATGATTAAATAAATAAATAAATAATAATAAAAAAATCTTACACAAAAATTAATATACATCTCTCTGAATATTAAAGCTGAACTAATCAATATCTTGGTATTAAGAACTCATCAAATGACTATATAATGTGAAGGGTCACTCGTAGTGATAAACCCACAGGGGATTTTCCTTCTTCAGCTCCCCTCACCTCTACAATAATTACTGAATAATTACACTGTAATTTGTGGGCCATAAACTAAACCCCCTAACCCTATTATCTAAACTGAAGCCTCCCATTTAATTCCTGGCACTGTTTACATCCACCTTTCACCAAATTACCAAAATGTCTAAATTGTATTCAGCCAACTGCTTGAGAAGCCTGAACAGTAAAACAGGAAACGCAGCCAAGAGGCCCAACTTCAAACAACTTTGAAGAAGCTGCCAAATCTACCGTCCTGCTCTGCGTGGTCTCCTTTCCCTTTCTACTAGTGCCATCTGGAGATGTTCCAGAAAGTTTCAGCGACACAGTGAGCCGGTGTGTGCTGATA